CAAAATGCGTTATTCATTGTCGTGACTTCGCAGGATTAAGCGACAATGAAATTATCGAAGGGATGAGAACTGAAGCTGTTACTGTAGTCAGTATAATTCGTATCAAATGTAACAACAATTTGCAGGACACCAACACCATTTTTCTCAAATTCAACAAACCAACAATACATACAGTTGTCAAAGTGGCTTTTTACAGGTCACCAAATCCCCTTCGATGCTTCAAATGTCAAAAATACGGCCATCACGAAGATCGATGCTCAAAAATCCAAATATGCGGCCGATGCGGGGATACTTCTCATCGGGAATCCGAGTGCAAAGGTACACCGCATTGTGTGAACTGTGGAAAGGACCATCATGTTGATTCAAAGGATTGTGATACCTGGACACAGGAGAAGACAATACAGAGGGTTAAGTACACCTCAAACATTCCCTTTCCAGAAGCCAGAAAATTTGTACAAGCTAGAACTTCCCTCCTCGGCCCGGCCGTCTCAACTATAGTGAACAGCAACACAAAAGCAATTAAGTAGGCTGAAACCCAAACAAGCTCACCTGAATCCACTTCTACCTCAAATATCCCACACTACCAACCTCAAAGAAACTCAAGATCGACTGAAACAACTTTCAACAATTCTCCACCGCCAAAAGCACCAAAAATGAAAAATAAGAAAAACATATGCATAAAAAGGAATCAAAACGACCCCATAAAACTGCAGAACTGGTTTGGAGACTTTCATAACATGAATGCAAAAGAAACTGCCCCATGACCTTAAGGTGGCTACAAACCTACAAACAGAAAATGTTATTAAGTTCTTCCTCCAGAGAAATAAACCCAAATATTTATTCGCGAAAAGTCTAACCTGATTACATTCACTAAGATTTAAAGAAAGATCCAAAATGAAGAACAGCATCATACAATGGAATTGTCAAGGACTATGTCTGCAGGAAACCTTTTTAAAAGATAAACATAAAACTATTAAAAAGTAGTCCTCTTATAACACCTACTTAAAGTTGGTGGCGGCCTCAGGAGGAGTTTCCGTTCTAGTAAACAACAGGGCTACTCTCAGCGCTATTTCCTTGAATACAGATTTACAAGCAATAGCTTTAAGCGTCAAACTTCATAGAGTGATTACTTTTTGTTCTCTTTATATACCACCAAACACAAACTTAGTACAAACTGATTTAAACAATCTTGTTAAACAACTGTCCACTGCATTTGTTCTACATGGGGATTTTAATGCCCATAACATTTTATTGGAATCTAACCAAATAAGGGACAGGGGAAAAATGGTTGAAAATTGTATTACTAGACAGGAGTTTTGTATATATAACAGCAAATCACCGACATATGTACACCCAGGTACGGTGCAACGATGTGATAATTTGTTCTCCTTCGCTGCTTTTAGATCATAATTGGAAGGTCGCAGATGACCTTCACATCAGTAAATACTTTCCAATATCACTTGAAAATATTCACTCTACAGCTGCTGACGCAGTTCCGCAATGCAGTTTAAAAATGGCCGACCTGGGCCAAATTTAAAACACTTTGTACAGCTAGGCGGAACAGAAATACCGTCCTCAGCGACAATAATCCTATCCGACAATTTACATACATCATAACTGAGATTGCAGAATAATCCGTCCCTATGTCCTCGCCGAATTGTAAAAGAACCCAAAACCATGGTTCACTAGAGATTGTAAAGTTGCCATTAGACAACGCCAAGAAGCAGTGAAGAAAAATTAATAATCGCTTAACACCCGAAAATTTAATTCAGTAACGTATTATTCTGGTAAAATATCGCTGCACAATTAAAGAAAGTAAACGAGCATTATATAAAAAGAAATAAGTTTCATCTTTAATCTCTCGTTCCTCAATAAAGTTATTTTGGGACACGATCAGCTAAAAAAAAAATGGAAAGGGAAAGTGAAATTGCTTCCAACATCTGAAGCTAAATAACAACAAATTTAACAACAAGTGATGAAATGTACTTGCTGATTGATTTTACAAACATTCTTGATCCTCTAATTATTCAGAAGCTTCTCAAAGTAAAAAAGCTTTAAAGAAATCAACACGGTTTAAATTCACATCAAATAACTAAGAGAGTTATAACAAACTGTTTTCCTTGCCAAAGCTTATTAAATCTCTGAATAAGGCTCATGATACATCCACTGTGCCTGACGATATATATTTTTTAAAACACTTTCCAGAACCATCCTTGACAGTTCTTCTGGAAATCTTCAATAATTTATGGATTACTGTTAATGCACCATACATTTGGAAAGAAGCAACAGTAATACCAATTCCCAAACCAGGCAAAGTTAGCGCAGATCCTACAACTATAGACCTATATCATTAGCTAGCTGCGTATGCAAAACAATAGTACGAATTACCAACTCTCGGCTTGTATGGTACATGGAAAGTAACAATTTAATATCTCCTTTCCAAAGAAGCTTCCGTTCTGGTTGTAGTACCAATGATCATCTGGTTAGACTAGAAACATTTATTTGCGACGTTTCATCAAGAAGGAGTACTTAATAGCGGTTTTCTTTAATTTCGAAAAGGCCTTGACACAACATGGACGTACAGAATACTAAATGACCTGCACGATATGGGTCTAAAAGTTTGACAGCCCTCTTTCATATCAAAATTCCTATCAGCCAGGGAATGCAAAGAATTAGTGGACTCCACCCACTCTGAAATGCACGATCAAGAGACGGGTTTCCTCCAGGGCAGTATTTTATCGTTGACGCTTTTCATCATAAAAATTAATAGTATCACCAAGTGTCTGACTCCAAGTGTGGATTGCTCCCTAAATCTTGATGACTTTTTAATATGTTACCGAATGAAGCACATGCATACAATTGAAAGACAATTACAACACAATATAAACAAGATCAAAAATTGGGCCAATACTAATGGTTTCAAATTCTCGAAAACAAAATCTTTCTATGTGCATTTCTGAGAGTTACGAAGACATCATGATGGACGAAATCACATGCTCGACGGTAATCCTATTCCAGTTGTTGAGCAATCAAAATTTTTAGGTATTATATTCGAGAGAAAACTGTTTTTTTTATACCACACCTAAAGAATATGAAAGCTAAATGCTTGAAGTCTCTAGATTTACTTAAAGTAAGTGCGCACACTGACTGGGGTGCTAATGGAAAGTCATAATCAGTTTATAGAGAACGTTTATTTGCTCGAAACTAGTGTGTTAGAATTGTCTATGGTTCAGCAAGGAAGTCTTTTTTTGAAGATGCTTGACCCAATTCATCATCAGGGAATAAGACTTACTCTTGAAGCATTTACGATATCCCCATGGTTTGTTGTTGGGCTAAACACCATTTTTCAGCACACAATACGCCATTCATGGCGGCCAGTATTAATGGTGGAGGAAGAAACCGGGAAATCACTGGAAAGAACCACCGACCCACGAGAAGCTACTGGCAAGCTTTCTCACATATCCACATTCGCCGATTCCTAGACTCGAACTCACGCAGACAGAGGTGAGATGGCAGTGATCCGTAACGGACAGCGCTTTAGTCCACTCGGCCACTCGGGGCCCCTCATCCCCATGTGAAAGCCTACTCGTTTAATCAAACGAACTACCTTTAGCATAACGTAGAAAAATAATTTCCGCAAAGCATGCTCTTAAATTAAGATTCAACCCAATGAACGCAGATTTGAAAGCAAATATAGAACTTAATATGCTAATAACGTAAATGTCACACCCACCTTTTGCATTAGAATATCACTATTCCTTGAAAGTACCCTAATTGATCTTTCAATAATTCTGAAAACGACCGTCTCCGAAACACCTCCCCGGCTACTTCATCAACCAAAGATAATCTCACGTTACACGGTGGGAAAAAAATCGGAGACAATTCCTTCCATCTTTGATAACTTTTGCCATGAACTCCTCGCCCAATGTGAAAATGTTACCAGAATATATACTGATCGATCAAAGATAGGAAAAAGGCTGCTGCAGCCTTCGTTAGTGGAAAACACACAACAAAAGTTCCCTTGCCAAATGTTGTATCTATTTTGTCAGCCGAAATCAGAGCAATAGACCTTGTTTTGCAATACATTGAAAGCAAGCGTATTTTAAACAACAGCAAGCGTATTTTAAACAACAGCATCCTCTCCGATTCACTATTAGTACTTAAGTCGCTACATAAAAGAAAACTAGAGTATCCATTATTAGCTAATATTCTCCTTAAATATACTGAGCTGAGTACCTCCCACAATATAGTATACTGTTGGTTAACCAGTCTTATTGGAATTAAAGGTAATGACAGATCAGACCGCACTGCTAAAATGGACCTATCACTAGATCCATCTGATTTTAATACACCATATACTGATTTTAAACGTAGTATCAATACACTGTTTAAGTCGGAAATGTCAGGCATCGTGGAATGACGCCGTGAGTAACAAACTTCATGCTGTCATGGACTCGTTCTTACAGAGCCGTCAATACGGAGGAGGTAGTCATTACAAGAAATCGTATTCGTCGTTCTTATTTAACCCATTCGTACATACTGAAAGGAGAAGACCCACCAGAGTGCACATCTTGCAATGAACCATTCACTGTTAAGCACTTTATGTTGGAGTGTTTCAACCTCCAACCAACGCTTAATCATTATCATAATGAGCAAGATATTAGGGAGCTCTTTGATACAGTTGGCATTTCTTATATTATAGACTTCTTTAAAAAACAACAGTTATCATATGTTATACGGTTGCTAGATTTGAGTGCGTGTGTGTGTGTGATTTAGATTTTTAACGTAGCTTTAACAATTTTTCAGTCATATCGCTACGATATCTGCAGTGTGACAGTTTTATAGTGATGTCTAGCACTGGGGCATCATGCCTCAGACATGTGGCATGATGTCCCACCCAGTCACATTATCCTGACACCAGGCCACCAGTCCTAGTACTAACCTCTTAATGCTGAGCGCCAAGCGAGGCAGCTCTTAGTACCATTTTTAAAAGTCTTTGATATTACTCGGCCGGGGTTTGAACCCGCGACCTCCCGCATCCGAGGCGGGCGCTCTAACCACTAGGCCACTGCAGCGGTCACTAGATTTGAATTACCATTCATCTGTTGGATTTGTCATATATCATTTGTACTTCCCGTTGATCGGGAAACATTATGTATTTATCACTGTTACCATTTTATCGTTTTACTTGTAACTTGTTTCGAATCACTGGTCCATACCAAAACTTTTACCACTTTTAAATAATGAAAGATATAACCTTTTATATGGAGCTAAATAGCCTCATAATGCTAGTGGGCCGTAAAAGAAATATCAATCACATTTCATTGCTTTTCATATCTTCAATGGCCAAATCTGAATTGATAACTTCACACCTCTTCGTTTGTTTTCATAAAAAAAACGGTTTGTGTACCGATTGTCTTTGATACTTTATGTGTTTGAATTCCAAAGTTATTTCAGTTTGGGTCAGAGAACTCAAGTATTTTTAGTTTATTTTTCGTTATTAAAATATGAATTTACTGTACTATTATCAATACGTCCCTCATATTCATGAAATATAAAAGACACTTTCCTTGTTACACATCTATGAAAATGTTGTGTTCAAATACTCATATTCCACTGGTGCAGGTTCGTCCACTTCCTCTTTACTTTTAAAAATTACCGCTCTTCTTCCTTTTCACGTTTTCAGTAAGCTTACACCGATTTCTCGATAGCATCTTCTTACCATTCTAAGGTCCCTTCTTTATATTTCCTTTCTTTATAGCAATTATCTGCTGTAGACCTTGGAATAGCTATTGTACTAAGATGAACTAGATGAACTGCTTTCTGTAGAGGTCAATAAATTGTATAAATCCCTTTATGGAATACGTGTACTAAATTTATTGTATACATCGATCCACGAGGGTGATTTATATATATTGTACAATATTTCGAAACAGTGAATTTGGTTTTTCCTATGCCGCACGTGCAAAATGCTTTTCTATAGGAAAATCCGAATTCTTTCACCAGCAAAGGTGACGCTGTTGTCTGCATCGTCTGTGTATAAATGCATCACTGTAAGACATGTCTTAAGATCACACTTATTGTCATCGGGCAATCTATTCAATACAGGAACCATCTAGTTCCAAAATGTCAGATAAACAGAGGAAGAATGTACATAATGAAACGAAAAGAAACGAAACGGACTTTGAATTAAAGCCATGGAACGAGAATATTAAAAGAAATTAATGAAATACAAAAGAAATGGAATATATCATGCGATGATGAGACTCCTTTCCAGTTGAACAGGGAGAACGGACAGATCGACAAAATTAAGTTATTGAGACTCCTTCCTATGATCTGGGAGAAAGGATATTCACTGTATGGATTTCAAGATGACTTCACGAAATTGAAAACGGACTTCTGATTCATAATAAGTAAGAAATGTTTAAACAACTTGAACGAATGGGACAAATATTTATTAGTTTAATAATATTAGGTTAACTTTACCAATAATTATTATAGCTATATTTTCAAAATTTACTGATCACGATTAAATCGATTAAACTAAACAATTATTCATGAATTACTTTAATAAATTATTGCATTATTAGTAACCTAATATATTTACAATCAAAATTGTTATGCATGCATTAGACAAGAAACTAATGGCACCTGAGCTAGTGTTCACGTGATCGCGAAAGCATTGTGTGAATGCTGCTCGTCCTTGATTTAAGATCTCAAACAACTTATGCGCAAAGCAGAAACGATGATAAATATGTTTATTAAATCTTTAAAACTATGCTTAATAGAAATTAAATATGAATTCAAATTAGTTTAATAAACTTTAGACTTATAGGAAACTATGATTATGAATTAAATAACCCCAGAACTTGATAATATTAGAAGAAATAAGATTTTTATGGTGTAAAAACCGATATTCAAAGTGTAACAAAAACGAAGTATAATAATTTTAATGCAAGAAACTTGCGAACCACTCTGGAGCGTCCGCCTCAAACGCGGGAGGTCGTGGGTTGGATCCTCGGTTGAGTCGTAGTAAAGACTTACAAAAATGGTACTAACAGCTGCCTCGCTTGACGCTCAGCATTAAGCGGTTAGTGTTTGGACTGGTCGGCCTGGTGTCAGGATAATGTGACTGGGTGGGACATGATGCTACATGTCTGCGGCATGATGCTCATTGCTAGACATCACTATAAACTGCCACACTGCAGACATCGTAGCGATATGACTGAAAAATTGTTAAAAGCTACGTTAAAAATCATAAACACAAACACAAACTCACACACATCTTTCTCTATATAGACGTCTCTTTCTATCTCCTTCTCTCTTTATCGATATATTTTTATCTATCACTATATATCTCTAGCTATATGTCTCTCATCTATATTTCACTCCATCTGTTTTACTTTCTCTCATATTTTTCTTTAACTGTCTTTCTATCTCATTTCTCTCTATCAATCTATCTCTCTATCTCAATCTGTGTGTGTGTGTGTATGTATGTATGTATATATATATATATATATATATATATATATATATATATATATATATATATATATATATATATATATATATATATATATATAAACATGTTAAAATAGCAAATAAAATAAATTTTTTCTCGCAAAAATTGAAATATGTTTGAAGTAATCTAGATCGTTAAGAACGACAAGGAGAGTTTTGCGATTTTTTTGTTTAAAGCTTTTAATAGATTTCATTATTTTTCATGAAAATTCATTGTCATTTTCCTATTTAAATATCTAGTATAACTATTTTTCTTAATAAACTCCAAAACTATCATGTCAATTGAAAAAGATTGTTATCCAATGAGTGAATAGCCATAATATTTATCACGTCTCCCACTTTGGTATGCAGTCGACATAAGGAAATTTTATATGATAGTGCTGCGTAATTACTTTTGTTGATAAAGTAAATTTGCTGTGTGATATGATCAATGATCGAACAGTTCTTCATTACAATTATGTCTGATTTTACGGGAGTCATATAAGGTGGCTGGGAAATGGCTACTGAAAAATTGAGTGGTCCCAGTCTGGAGCTTTCTTAAAGAATTTACTTTGTGGACTGGTTAGATTAAATACATGTTTCTTGCTTACTACGTCATACCTAATTTCGATCATCAAATTCTGATGGATTATTGATGACCTTATTAAAAATGTTAACCCGTTGATGAGATTAGTTTTGAAGCAAAACAGACAACGAGACCTAGACATAGTGAAGTCCATTGTTGTAAAATGTCACCGATCATCTTCCTTACCATGTTTTTGTAAGCTTATACTGATTTCACGGTAATATCTCTTCAATTTTTTATAGCAGCAAGTGTGCTTTTGACCTTGTAATATCTGAACTGAACCAACTTATTGCTGAGGTCCTAGGGCACCAGAGTTCACAAGACGAAGACATGGGCCATTTCTGTGACGAGTCCAGCACAGTTGCTGAAAATGATCTCTGGAAGGACATCGCAGATGAAGTGATGAATGGTATTTGTCTTTAACTTGTCTCATCTTTTTTATTTTAATTTGATATTTATTGTCGTGCAGGTTTATTTATTTATTTATTTATTTATTTATTTATTTATTTATTTATTTATTTATTTATTTATTTATTTATTATTTAGTTAGTTAGTTATCTTTCTTTCGTAGTTTTGATACGAGAAAAAGGAAAATAGGCGGTGACCGAGTGGAAAAAGGATGTTTATGTACAGAATTGTTCATTGACCATGTTATTAGGCGCCACATTGTTCATAGTGTTTTTAAAAATAATCATAATTATTTATATTTAAAAAAAAACATTCTGGGAGCAGTCTGATTTTATAAAGAAATTTATGGTGTCCTGTGCGGATTTTTAAACGATTTCTCTTTCATGTAATCTGTTCCATGTTGTCTCTTTCACACAAGCACTGATCTATAAATGATTTCCTTGTTGTATAAATTATATTAGGACAACGGTTTTATTTCATAAACGGGCCTTAAACATCGATATCTTCATTTCATTTTAACTGAATCCCATCTTTTGACGTCATAAAGTTTTATTGCAACTACATATCTCCTTGAAAGTATTTTAAAAATAGTTGGATGCCTCCGACTATATCTCTTGTGATGTCATTAGGTGTTGTTATTCGTATTACATGGGTAACGAATCGACACATCGTGTAATATAATTATCGTAGATTTTAACTTTCTTCGATTCCGTGCTCTTGTAGACTGATAGTGATTTAATAGAAACCTGTGTTGTGCTTCCAAGAATGTTTTGTATATTTCAACAATTGCAAGGGTTATATTAGCTTTTTATATTCCTGACTGGAGTATAAACTAAAACATAAACGTAAATACCTGGATGCTTTAGCAGTAATTTTAACAAAATACTTGTTCCCATTCAGACTTGCAACACTATGCATCAGAGACCAGAGATGATGTGAATATCCATGAAAAAGAAGGGAAAAAAGGCAGGGGGAAGAAAAGAAAACGTTTAGATGCGAGTTTGCTAGAGGACATCAGTTCGGAAGAACCGTCGACAAAGCGACTAAAAGAACCGTCGACAGAGCGACTAAAAAGGCCACGTACGCCATGCATGAGAGTCCAAATGCTTAAAGGCCTTTTGTTAAAGAAGGCCAATAAATTATGGAAGAAATGTGGAAAAAGATATACCAGGGAAGGTAGGGGATTATGTTGCAGCAAAAATTGCTGGATAAAGTGGGAACGTGTGGACCTAAGAAGAATTTTCATTGACTGATCACCATGGTAGGCACACTGGCACAAGACGAATTGCTAAATAAATGACATTTTCTTTCCCTTTTTTTGCTTTTTTATATTTTGTTTTTGACATTAAATATCAATACAAATAGGTGGATTCAATCTTTTATTATAATTAATGGATTGTTTAAAACCTATTTCGCTTTTGTTGCCCACAAAATTATATACATTCATATCTAAGCTTTATCAATAGGAAATAAACGGAAATAAGTGTATCGATATCATGTCAAGAATAAAAGTATTAAAGACTTTAAATATAGTAATAAATCCTTTCATATTTATTGCAAGTTATTTACAATTAAAATAAC